GTATCTGTGTATTCAAAGTGGTTAGGATAGATATATAGTTACATTCTCTTAATGAATAGAATGATTTGTTCTAATGGTGTTTGTAAATAGGATATCATGCCCGTATCATGTACAGCAATTAACCAATGGGAAGAATGTATGCAATGTGTTAATTATTGAAACTGTCCTACCAATTTGATTTGAAACTGTCTCATTACTATTTGTTTCTCAATAAAATTATAGGAAAAAAAAAAAGGCCAGGGAGATGGCTCAGTAGAATAAACACTTGCCTGGCAAGTGCAAGGGCCTGAGTTCAATCTCTGCTTCTGAAAAAAAAAAACTGGTAACAGAAAAAAAATTGCATTTCAAGGAAGAAACAGAAACATGAAGTGTGACTAGAATGTGGGATCTGTAATAAACTGAAGTAAGAGAATTTCATGTTAACACTGATAATTCACTTATAAATCCCACAGCCACTGAGCAGCTCCTATGTGATAAACACTTGTGTGACCATCACGATGAGCGTGAGGATGGCAAGCACTATGATACTGGCAATAACAGCCTCTAACACTAGTCTAGGACTTAGCACAACATGAAAGAGATAGGCATGGGCCCCACCCTTGTTGACATTTGTAATCTAGCTGGGAAGACAGACTTAACAAATAACTCCAAGCACTATTTGTGCTATGTTGTGAATTTTATATGCAACAGGAGGGGTGACAGGTGGCCTGACCTAGTCTAAGGGCACATGAAGGCAGAGAGTGACATCATCAGATTTTATTACTGAATGGGCTGGAAGGAAAGAGAGGAAAAGCATGCAGGACAGAGATGAAGGTTGCTAAAATTTTAAAAAGTAGCAGTATTTGTGAAACATCTCCAAGTTAAAGGAGTAACCCCACACAAGTTTTTTGAAACTGCTTTCTCCTCTGGATTCCAGTTATTTATTAGCTCTCTAAGGAACTTATCGCTCTCAAAATCTCCGAACCATCACTTCACAGAGCATATACATTAAAGGTGGGAACTGAAAAGTGAATGGCAGCACAAAGACATGAAAAGGAAAAGCAGAGCTGCTCAGCACCTGTGCCTGTTGCCTCCCAGCTCCTTCAGACCCCTTAGGAAAGAAAGATGCCCTGAGACCCTCCACAGAGAAAATGAGGGCCAGAAAGGCAGTCTCTCTAGAAATACTTGATAGGCCATGAAAGTTTTCTACCATAGTAAAGCAAGGAAATCAACTCTTCGAAGAGATTATTCACAAATATAGAACAAATGTTGTAATTAAAGATCCTATAGCTCTTTTCCCTTGAAAAAAGAGGGTTTGTTTAGAAGGCAGGAGTAGTAGGTCAAACTGTTAGCCCTGTTTTTGCGGAGTGAGATGATAGACATCTTATCTCCCTCTGGGTTCAAGGAATAGCTATGAATAGTTATGAACTAATCAATCTGATGCATCTTTTTGCACAATTACATTCTGAAAGCCATTGGGAATACAATAAGGAGTTAAAATAGATATGATTCTTGATAGAATTCTAGCTCAGTAAAGAAGTTGAGAGTCTAAATAATAATCAAGCAATAACATTTAAAGCTGCATCTGTCCCTGGGCCTGCTGTGCTGGCCCCACCCCCAGGGCACGCTGTGATGGCAATTGAGACTGGGCGTGGTGGTGCACACCTGTAATCCCAGCTCTTGGAAGGCTGTAAACAGGCAGATCACTATGAGTCTGATATAATAGTGAGACACTGAACACCCTGTAGACCCTTCCCTAAAATATGAAAAAAAAAAAAAGCTGCATCTGTAAGTATACCTGAGGATTCAGTGAAGCAGACTGTGGCCTAAACAATGAGCTACTGGACAGAGAATAGGAGAATGAGTATTAATTAAATGGATGAAGAAAAGGGGGAGAACAGTGGCAGAGTGAATTAACTTGACAAACAGTTGAAAGAAGCTTCCAAGTTCTAAAAGCCCTGATAGGTAACTGAAATAAAAGAATGAAACTCGGTCTACAGGTTAGAAAAAATCTGCTATTTGCTAGGTGTGTGAATCTGGTCATTACCTGACCCTCAATATCTTAATCTGTACAATAAGCAAAAATATTGTCTATGTTGCAGGCATATTATTGTCTGCTTGGCACTTAAGTAGTAAATTTTGCGATGACTAGACTCAGGAAGTCAGAAGGGCACATGGGAGAAGCAGTGTTCCTTAGGGGTCAACAGCTGACAGTGTTTGGTGAGACTGTCCGGTACAGAACACAGGTACAATATTTGCTAGATCTGTGACCTTGGATGAAAGACAAGCTTTATAATGTTCAGTTTCTTCAACTGTAAAAGAAAGAAAGAAAAGTACTGAGTTTACAGATTTCTATAAAGCACCTGAGAATCAAAAGTAGTAATGCATAGAAAGTGTGAAAGATTGCTTACATAAAACCTAGACTATATGTTTTGCATGTATACAATGCTTTACCTGTATAGATGAATAAGCAGTTAGTTATTTTTGCTGTTATCACTTTGAGTATGAAGGTGAAACTAGATAAGGCCACAGACCTCCTAGAAAATCTTGATCTAGGTGTTAAAGAATGAATAAGTATTAGATAGACAAAAATGCTGTTGAATTTTCTCTGTTCAAGCTACAGGAAAGCACTTTTGGAAGCACTATTGTGAGTATTTCCATGGGGTTGAAGTCTCAAGGAGAATATTAAGAAAAGTCTTGTGAGTTCTTTATTTTAAAATACACCTTTACCGCAGCTGATGCCACAAGCTTGAAGGCAGAATAATGTGGGAGCATAGTCTTTGAAATCAGACCTGGGTTCTAATCCCAAACCTACTGCTTCCAACTGCATGATTGTATGCCAATTACTTTCCTTCTCTGAGCTTAGAATATAAATCTTTAAAGTAGTAATGGTGTCCTCCTCATGAAGACATTATGAAGATTATACAATATAATGCATTTGAAGCACCATGTTTGGCATATAATAAGCACTTGATAAATGTTAGTCATTGCTATTATTGTTTAGGCCATATTAAAGCTGCATGGCATTACCCAGTAATTTTGTTCAGTGCATGAGGTAATTACACTAAACACTAGGGTATGTCATATTACATACTCAATGGTGAGGTATCCAAAGAAACATCATGAGTAATTAGATGAGAAGAGTTCCTACATGGCAGTGATTACAGGTATTTATCTTCATGGCCTCCATGGCTTTGACAGAGTTATATATAATGGGCTCTAAATAAATGTTGAATTAATTAATGAGTGATCCTTGTGCAGATTTTAAAACAAAACTTTCTCTGCTCATAAATATTGTGCATATTTCTGTAGGTAATTCATAAATTAAAATACTGTAATTTCAAGAGCAGTGGAACAACCATTGCTATCATCTTGATACATTTCACTCTAAGGTGTGCTCATGTATGCATGCATTGGTATGTATACATGCATAATACTTATGGAGAATCATAATATTTGAATAAATACACATATTTAATTTTGTTCAGGACATGTAAAAGCTATTTTGCTTCATTTTATTAAGGATAATTTATAAGTATGATGTGCACACTGTATTACATTCTATAAAAGTGTGCCATATAGTTTATTTAACTATAGTCCTACTGTTAGGCCTTTAGTGTATGTCAAGACTAAATCATCTTCAAATATAAATTGTGTATTTTCATATTGAGTGAATTCTTAGTTTGGGGATTGTAAGCAACTTGAAAATCTACTTATTAAAAATCTCTCTATTATCTCCTTCCACAGAAAAATTATAAGAATATAATTTACATAAAATATTGTTGGCAATTTCAGCAGGCTATAAATTTCATGAAGCCCATCTATGGTCCCTGTCTCATGGTCTCCACATCAAAACTGTGGATATAAAATGTATCAATGTAAGGCAGTACATGAAAGTGAAAGTGCAAAGACTAACAATCTTGGGGATAAATGATCTCTAAAAGACTATAGAGGGGCCGGGGAGATAGCTCAGTAGAATAAGCACTTGCCTGGCAAGTGCAAGAGCCTAAGTTCAATCTCTGGTTCTGAAACAAAAAAAAAAAAACAACTATAGAATATTTGACCATTTTCATAACATTGCCCATTCTCTGTTCATTCTTACATTTGAAATAGTTCAAGTCTTAGATTCGATATTACATTTCTCTACACCTTCTGTTGAGTGATAGCTTATATGATGCATCTTTATGATCCTTAGTGATGGAAAGTTTCACAGAGGTCCCAGTGTGCCACCTCCTTTCACTGTGAGCTCTTGCAGCCTGGACACATGTGGCATTACTGTGTTGATGCCTGCTTTCTGTCCTTCCATTGCTCCTGTCTTATGCACAATTTGTCTTGAGAAAAGATACAGCATGATTCAGCACTGAATGATACAGTTACTTAAGGGAAAAAAGGTCATTTCACAATGCCAAAAGTAAAACACTTAGTAGCACAAAAACATAAAAAGGATATACTCATTACCTTAAGTCATAAATATTGTAATATCAGGGGCATGATGCTAACACGGCCTTTGTGTAGTTCTAAACAAGGAGGATTATAACCTTAAATGGTTGTCTTATTTTTATGCTTTAATATGCAGTATGAACCTGATTCTAATGCCAACTTGTACATTCTGTAAATAATTCTAATACATCCTCAGAATAAAGGAAAGTAGTGGTTTTTAATTTTGGTTGTTGCTTCCACTTGTTGCTTCTGAAGATAGAACAATTCCTATTGTGAAATCTAGGATAGGAAAGAGCATAATCCGATGTGTGCAGCATATAAGCCGATATAGTGCTCCTCCATCTTTGTCTAGGTTTATGCCTCATGTGTTTGGAAAACTCTAAATTATCACCAGACTCCAAAGAATAATGGAAAAGAAAAATTCTAAGAGTAATTCATATTAAAATTATTTCTTTCTCTCCCTCATAGCTTCATCATCCTTCCCAAGGCTTCCGGTTTGGAACTGTCCGGGAAAGCAGTGCTGAAGACTATGTGAGGCAAAGTTTCCCAGAGATGCACGAGTACATGAGAAGATACAATGTACCTGCCACCCCTGATGGAGTACGGTATCTGAAGTGAGTGTCAACCTCCTCTGTCCTAAAAGTGCTCACTGAGAGAGAAATCACTAGTTACTGTTGTATTCGTTAGTTTTTAAAATGACAGACAAGGGCTGGCGAGATAGCTCAGCAGCATAAGAGCCTGCTTGGCAAGTGCAATGTCCAGAGCTCATTCTCCAGTGCCGCATGCTGTGCCATGCTGAGTGCACTGTGCTAGCCCCAGAACTAGGTGTGGTAGCCCACAGGTCTTATCCCAGGGCTGGGGAGGCTGAGACAGAAGGGTCATTGTGAGTCCAAAGTGCGTAAAGAGACCTGTATGAAAAAATAAAAATAAGGTGACACGCAAATATACACTATGTGTTTAATAATATCTCATATAGAACAGTGATCATGTAATTCTGTGACTATATCCCTAGTTACCTGCATAGTGTTAGGTTGGCATTAGCTTTGATTAAAAAGCCAATGGGGTCATTAGTGTAGCAGATGGTGGGGGAAGCAAATATTGGCTTGACATCACTTGTAGAAACCTGGGTGCTGAGATGATCAAACACACAGGGAATGTAGCCAGAGGATAAAGTGTCCCAAAACAACCTTTTCCTTCTCAGCGAATCCCTAAGCCCATGGAATGCCTCTGCTTGCCATAAAGAAATGGAGTTTATCTTAGCGATTTCCTGTTAGGAAGGAAATAAGGTATAAGGCTGCATTTTCCATCCCTGCATCTTTCTCATCAGAATTTATGAGAAGCAATCAAAGACAATTACATTGCCAGGGAAGATTATCAGAGCCTGTAATTCAGTGAAGCTGAAAGCAAAGGAGGACAGTGCACTTATGGGTCTGCTTGTCTAGTCTGCCTGGGAAGAAGGAATGAATGCTACCCAGTAACTACCACTGCATGAAAGGTCTCTCTCTCTCCTGCCTGATGACATCAGGATTATAACACACATCCAAATTCCCAATATCTTCAACTGTGTAGTATCAAGAAACTAGTTTGTCCACGGTCAGTTACAATAATAATCCCAATAGACAGCAGGGCCCACTGCCTCAAATTCTTTCTTAGGAAAGAGAGGAAATAAAGAATTTCATGGGACATACGGGCTTTGTGTTTCTTGAGAGCTCTGGAAATAGGCCCCTTAAACAATTTTATTGACTTTTAAATAGTGCTTGGAAAGGAAGCTGTGTGCTTTTAGATTTGCAAGGTTATATATGATGTCTAAGTAATAGGAAATGGTACTTTTAATGTTGCAAGAACACTAAAACATTAGAGTTCCTTTTTGAGAGAGTTTAGAACTCCAGAGTCTCCCAGATCCTTTTCTGTTTCTTTCCTTCAGGCAAATGCATGGTTGAGAGAGAAAATAAGACATCAGGGAGCTAGCAATGGCTCCCAGGTAGGCAGTAATGGTAGACAGACTGGGATCTACTGGCAGTACTGTAAAAGTCAAAGGAAGCACTTCAGCAGTTCCACTCAACTTGATGCATGCAATTATCCCAGTGCCTTTACCTTACAAGGTCCTCTTAAGCTCAGTATTGACCCTACCCAAGCCTGAAGAGTAGCAACCTTTATGAAGTCAAGCACAATGAAGAAGTACAGACAGTTAATTTTCCATGGCAATACAGCTAACAAGTGATAGAGTCAGGGCTATGATCCAGTTTCTCACACCAAACCACTGCTTCCGGCTCATTTGGAAACCACAAAGGAAGGCAGCTCCTTCATATTCAACAAATGGTCCCTGTTCCAACAGCATCTACATTGCTGTGAGCATCTGTGAGCTAAATAGAAATAGAAAATCTCCCCAGGTGTGATGGTACTCCCCTGTAATTCCATCACTCAAGGGGCTGAGGCAGGAGGACCGCAAGCCTGAGGCCAGCCTCAGCTACATAATGAGACATTATCTCAAACAAACAGAAAAAAAGTCTCAGGCCCCAAACCTGCTCCATCAGAAACTGCACTTTTTTTTCTTTTAAAGAGAATTTTAAAAACAGATGAAACATTAAAATGGTGCAGAATTTCAAAAAACAAGATGATAGAAATTCAACAATGGTTGTTACATTGTACATTGTTTTCTTCCAAGTAGTTGCTTGGATGACCAGATATGAGCACGTAGCTGCATTTTAACAAGCTCTCTGGGTGATTTCCTGAGAACAGGCAGAGCTCATCAGCAGTGCTTTGTTTCTCCTCTCTAGGCTTTCTCCCCATCTTTGTCCTAGTCACTACACACACTCTTAGATACCACAACAAACAACCACAGTCCTCGAGCTACTCTTGGCATCTCAGAACTCTGCCCACTAGGTCCTGTTCCCAAAGTCCATATGAGACAGGATTCTGTGTCTCAACTTGTGCTTCCTCTCTCCCATCACATCCTCCTGGGCTTAGACCTATACTCTCCTGACAATAAATCCTAATTAAAATGTTCATTTCTTTAACATGACTGGTTTTGTGGTATATATATTCATATATATATATATATATATATATATATATATATATATATATGAATGCTCAAAAAGAAAAAAGACATCCTGGTTCTATAATGAGAGAAATCACTTGAGACCCTGCCAACCACAACAGTGATTCAGCCAGTCTGGAAGCCACTTGTACCTGGAACCAACCCAGCCACATCTTTACCAGTGACTCAGGGCCCCAAGGGAGTCAGTGAGCTGACTTCTTCCTGCCTGCCGATGCAAAAGAAATCTATCATAGCTAACTGCACTTTACAGTCCAAAGCCAAGTGTATTATTTAAAGATACCAGTTTCAATGAACAGGAAACACTGGTTGAAAACACAAAACTGAACCTAAATTTTATTCTAGTTTCATATTGCTACCACAAATACTTGTGGGATGTTGGTAAATGGTTGCTTGCTGCTGTGTAGCTCCTCTAAAGATCATTTTGTTACTGTGGCAATCAAATGTTAGAGAAACATATTTTGGCTTGATTTTGATTATTTTTGTGGCCACAATTCCCATTAACGCTTTGTATCGTCAACTCCTAGAAGACAATTCACATCCTCAGCCCTTTTTGAAGCTTCCCACTGCTATGAATTGGGAAAATGTTTCTATTTTAAAGTTAAACAGTACTCCTGTTTAGAGTTTTTAAAGTGTCCCTAGAAAAGGAATAACATGTTGAATTTTCCATTTTATTTCCCGAAAGCATAGGAAAAGGTGGCAATTGTAACTGACACCAGAAAGAGAAGTTGATCTACTCACTATATAGCTACATGAGGCCCAAACAAAGACATCCATTTAGAAAAGTGTTTCTTGCCCAGTGATTCCTCTTCATGTGTCTAGGGATGGCTTTCTTGTTTCAGTTTTTGATGATTTAACTATATTCTCCTCTAGGTTTAGAGGTCAATTCTTTGTTGAATTTTAGCAGCCTTAATCCTGGTTCTAAGAGAAAAAGGACTTGGGTCAGGTGGAAGACAGAAGAGCTACTTTCTTTACAAAACTGTTTGAATATGGCCATTTTAAGAAAGGAGGTTTAGAAGTAGAGGAAGAAAAGATGGATTTAAAAAAAAAAAACAAACAGGATCAAACTGTATTATGTACATTTACCCACTCCCAAGCATGATGTAAATTGCATGTATCACAAATATCTATTAATAATAAAAAGAAATGTTTGGAAAACTGTAGGAGTAGAAGCAATTTTCTTAAGTAAATATATGTCCTAAAGGTTTCTAAAAAGGACTTGAGGTGAACAAAAATAAAGCAGTCCATGGCCAGCCCCCCTTTGGTGCTCATCCTTCCTTTCTGTCTTTGCAGGGAAAACTTAGCCTACACTCAGATGTACACTTCCTCTGGACCATTTCTGCATTGATTTGCCCAAAATGAGAAGACTCCTAAAGGATACCCAGTGCATCTGATGGCATCTCTAGTCTGCCACCAAGTCACTGTTACAGCCCAGAGATACAGACCTTTAATTATTCCTGCCTAAGCTGCCATTACAGTGGAAGTAAAACGTGAATCTCAGGAGAAAAATTGATAAATTAGGCCACTAAGATCTATTACATAAGCTTTCCCTTCCACCTATTGAATGTACTCCATGGATTTAAAGAACTATAACTTCTTGTTCTCCAAAAATGTTAAGATGTTCTCTAAGTATTTCCTCAATATCTAGTCCTGAATAAGAAATAATTTAGAGACTAAAGAACATAATTATGATCATGACAAAAACAAATAAAACTTTAAACATCTGATTAATGAGATCCCTTGACCCCAACCTTTCCAAGTCATATAAATGCCTCCATGTCACCTTCCCTCTCTGAGCCTCAGTTTCCTATTTGCTATGTCACAGTCTCTGAGTGATAAAATTCTATGGAGGAAGTGAAGTCAAAGCTTAACAGGAAGTTGCTCTGGTAACATAAGGATTTAACCCTTTTGGTGTAGTTTCCCATTCAACTCAGAGTTTCTATACCTTTGTTGTAGGATTAAAAGTTATGAAACACAATGGCAGACAAACTCCTAGGAAGAACACCATATGCTCTGATAAGTGCCCATCTCCCTGGTCTCTCTCTGCAGATCACTGCACTGGCAACAAACCTGCATCAGCAGCTAGCAAGCTTGTGCCGTCCTAAGTATCCAGTTTCTGTCCCTTAAACTAAAGCCAACTGTCAGGCCTACTGCTTTGTGCCAATTAATGAATGATTTTTGTTTTTCTTCTCCTGCTCCTAAACACAGGAATGATCCAGAGAAACTAGACGCCTTCATCATGGACAAAGCCCTTCTGGATTATGAGGTGTCAATAGATGCAGACTGCAAACTTCTGACAGTGGGGAAACCATTTGCCATAGAAGGTATTTATCAGTCACTCTGCTCTCTTTTACTCAAAATGTGCTCAGATTGCTAACCTAGTAAGTTACAAATGCCCAAGTTAGAGGCAAGGAGCTATTTATCTTCTCTTGTTTTCATTTTCAACTCCTAAGCACTTAGGCTATTAAGATGCTGAAGTTAAGAATTTTCCACCAACTCAACAAATATTTATTTATGCATTCATTAGGGGAAAAAATTCTTTACCAAATGATAGTGGTTCAGCTCTCTGGAAGTGGTAGCAATGAGGAAACCAATTTTAGTTTAATCAGTATTTTTGGCTCTTAGCTTTTTGTTTGCTTGTTTTGTGGTGAAAGGGGTCAAGCCTACAGCCTATTCATGCTACACAAGGGCTCTCTCTACCACTGAGCTGTACCCCCAGTGCCTAATCTTTCTTTTCAAGTGGTCAAATTCTGTAATGAATCTTTTACAAAAACTAGAATAATTACATTTGATGACTCAAAGAGTTTCAATACTGATCTAATTGAATTTTTCATTTTAGACCAAAGAAGGCCCAAGGATATCATTTCACATTTTCATAATCATCCAATTAGGTGGTAATACTCGGATTAAAATGCAAATCTTATGGTTCCTAAATGTTTCCTACTAGTTGAAAAATACGTAGAAAAAAGAAATAAAATTTCACTCTATGATTTATTGCCCTTAAGATCCTAAAATAACCTTGTTTGGAACTCTAGGTTTTCCTTTTCCTCACTGGCAGCAATTTTTGCTTCCAACCACATCAACCAATCAATCAAACTTAAGTACCAAAGAAGGATTGCTTTGTCAGTAGCTTCTTTCATTCTGAATGACAGTTGATATATGGAGCTGATAGTTTGAGCCAGCAAGTGTCATGTCTCCCAATTCCCAGCTTCCTCTCCCTGACAGTACATGCTAGTTCTCAAGACAACCACGCTCACTGATTAGAAACCATTGGTTTGCAAATGATCCCAGGGGGTGCCCAAGTCCTATTTCCAGAAATTTGTGCTATGCTGTATGTTAACGAGGGTATCAAGACTAATGTGATTCTAATTTCCTAACCTACTTGGTCTCTGTCTCCCCTAACTGCATCAGCAGAATTTTTTTTTTCAGTCTTCATTTTTACAATGCATGAGAAACTCACACTTGGTACTATTTCTTCAAGCCTTCTTCTAGGAGAAATTAATGTGCTTTCCAGGCATAATGACCCTTACCTGAAACAAGGATGGATTTTGGGGAGGGAAATAGTGGTAGTAGAGAAAGAGAGAAAGCAAAATCTAGAAAACTGAAAAGACATCAGTCTACCCTCATTTTAATGCAGCAGTGGAAAAATTCCTATTTTGTGGTACTTGGGCATACAGAAGAGATGTCATGTTTTATTTCTGTCCCAAGTGCACTGGGTAATTGAGGTCCCTCCTACCATTAGCAGCTACTAAATGAGTCATTTGTAGACAGCATAAGAATGAGGGGCTCCATTTGGCACCTTTGTCTCCAGGGGACAACCCTATCTTATCAAAAGGCAGTGTAGGGTGGCTTGTTTGCCTCTGCTGGACCTCCGTGCCAGATGCCACACAATTAACTCCCCACTGGTTTCCTGTTTATGTCTCCATCTGTGCTGGTGAGACACAGCATCTTATACTTCCAATCACCTCTAGACACTACATTGTTCTCAAAGAAAATAAATACAAGATGGCACATGGTGACACTCTCCCTGGAAGACAACAGGAAGACTGCAGATTTGAATAGAGGAAGCGCTGTCATCATCAGTCTAGACTCTGAATGGATGGGGTACAAATTGGAAAACTCATTTCAATGATTGCCTCAGGAAGAAGTTCAAAACCTGAACAGTGAACTTGGAGAAACACAAAGAGAGGATGGTTATACGTTATGCATAACAAAGCAAGACTAAAAGCTTGACCACCATTTATTAAAACATGATAATCTCAAAGATGCCTTGGAAATGTTCCTAATAAACTTTATTTAGTATTTAAAATTAATTTAACAGGAATATTATATGTTTTTCTTTGGCAATATTTAGGTTTTTAAACTTAAAAATGTGAACTTCATTATTAAGTGAGATTGCATAGGTATAAAAAAATCAAAGCAATCTCTGACTAATATTTGTTCATTCAGGAATGTTGTTGCATATATTTAATCTATATCCTTTAATAGGATCTAGGGAAATGTTAAACAGATATCAAGTATCAAATAAATCATGTAATACTCATTTCATAACTCATTAGTTTAAATTTGAAATAAGTACTTAGCTCACTTTTTAAAGTGGTTAATCAAATGTATCCTCATAATTTGCATATAGTTTCCCAAGTGTTTAAATGATTTCTAGAACATAGATAGGAAAGAAATCAGGGTCCACTTACTCCTTCAACCTGGATTTACTCATATATCCATTCTGTGTAGTATTAGCGCTCTAACTTACTCTAAGTGCTGCTGTGCTCCGAATGTTTGCATCCTAGCTGACATTCCTGAGCTGCCACCTATCCCCAGTGCATTAGGCAGGGAGGCCATAGTACAGGTGATTAGGTCATGAGGGCTCAACTCTTATGAAATGGGATCAGTACTTTTATAATGCAGGGCTGAGCTCACCTAACCTTTCCAAAGCTGGAAGCCATCCGTGAACCCAAAAGCAGGTTTTCATCAAACACTGAATATGTTGATACCTTGATCTGTGACTTCCCAACTTCCAGAACACTAAGAAAGAAGCATTTATCACTTATGATGCAGCTAGTCTTCAGTATTTTGTTATATACAGACTTAAAAACTAAAGTATAAGTAACAAATACATTTACTAACTTCATCCTTCTGCACTTATTTAGGTGTTAAAAGTAAAGTAAGACCAGTGAGAGAGAGAGTGATGCCATGCCGAATTTGAAATTTTCAGGAGTCTTCTTTTTCACTAAAAAATGCACAGCAAAACAGGTCAAAACTGTGAACAATTCAAGAAGCTGGGTGGGGTGGTCCATGCCTGTATCCTAGCATTGTTGGAAGCTGAGGCAGGATGACTGCAGCTTAAGAGTCCTAACTGACCAATTGGTTTGCTAATAATTATTTAATATATGCTTAGAGCACTTGCTCTGGAATCTGGGGGCTGGATTTAGAATTACTGTCCTTAACTGGAGAATTTCTTAGCTCCTCATCTGTATAATGAAGATATGAATAGTATGTTTATGATAAAGTTCTCCTTGAGGACTAAGTGACATAATACATGTAAAAAGCATACCTGATACATAAGAAATACTTAAAAATTATTATTTTATACATTAAATTAATAAATTTGGACTCATACACTATGAAATTCTCCCTGGGTAGCATGCATAGATAGCACCTTCTCTCCCCAGTATGATGTGCCAGGATTGGGAGTGCAGACATTTTTAAAGTCCCTTTTGCAAGTGGGACCATTTCAATATTTTCTGACCCACTGTCACAGAGTAGCTAAGTCTGGTATCCTGAGATCTAACTGTAAAACTAAATGATTCTTTTTTTTTTTCTGAAGCCTCTTTAACACTATCTAAGATCTTATTTTCAAAACAACCATTTTCCAACCACAGTTCAGGTAGATGCTATTGGTCTATCAATGTGTAACTATACATTTGCTAGTCAAAACATATTGCCATTACTCTTAGCTGAATAATGCTGATTTATCCATGGAGAAAAGATCAGGATTCTATTCTGAAAATTGTTCTCTTGGGCTATTAAGCTGTATCCAATTTCCAGAGTGCCTGATGCCTTCATCTTTAGGGTTGAAGGATTCCATTTTGCCTCATCCATCAACCACAAAATAGTCAACCCTTTCCTTATTGCAAAGCCATATTTCTAATGATAATGAAAGCAACTCTGGCCAAGTTGAGTCAGCAATTTTAATGTAAGAATTCTTTGACCAGTGAACACAATGAAATTCAAAAAGCAACTGATAAAGCAGGAAAATGGAAACGATTCCTTCAATTTTTACTATTTTGTTTCTGAATAAAATGGATTGTATGTATTGTAACAAGTACCTCTTCTCAGTGCCACATAAGTTTTTCCCATTTTCCCCTCATATCAATGTATGACTTGCTTTAATTAACTAATAATTATGATTAACACTGGAAATCATTAAAATAGTAATATCCAATACATGTATTAAAATAGAAAACTAAAAAGCTAATAATCTACTTTTGGCAGCCAACTGAAAATTAACCCAGGCATGATGAAGTACAGTGATGTAACATTTATTATTTTCTATGCAGTATTTTTTTATAAATGTCTCTGTCACTTCAATATAGCTTTTACCTGAAGGGAATCTTATTACTTTTGTTAAGGCATCAAAATTCCATTTTTAGACTACACAGATTTATCATAAGTTCTACCTTTCAGTTTTTACACTTTCTTTTCACCTATTTTTGACACATCTATCAAAATATTACAGCAAGAATCAAAGGTGCCTCCCCCTCTCATTTTGTAGGTTTTTATCTGCAGAATGTCTGCAGAGTTCCTTTTTTGTCTCAGTTGTTATATGTGACCTTTACTTCATTTATGCCTAACCCTTCTTTATTTCCAAGAAAATTTATTAACTTTGTACCATGTGTATAGTTATCAGTGCTGCCACATCTCCCCTGTGCTGCCCTAAGCTCCATATAGACAGGTTCTATGTTTAATTTAACTTAGTAACCTCCGTAACGCTTGGCAGAGTGCCAGGCACTGAATAAGCATGAAACACATTTTTTGGAACAAATAAACAGATGAAGAGGTACTCAAGAAATGCTCACCAAATGAAAAATAGAAACGTTTCTACCATTATTACACCAGTGTGGATTGGAATTATTTGCTTTAAGAAGATTTTTTAGGAGAGCAATTAGTAATTAAGGGTTCTTGCTGGTGAATTTTCTGCAACATACAGTTTCACACAAGTTAATACCATTCTTACACAATATCTACACTACTTACTAAAAAGTTTGTAAGCAAACTCTGCTTGTGAACAGTATATATTTGTGTCTGCTGAAAACAAAGCACTTATTTTGTTATTCTTCTGATAAATTACCTGGCTTGAGGGATTATTTTGACATGCTTATAGTGATAAAGCCTGTACTGAAGGGGAAAGAACAGATCAAGGATTTTCTTGATTTGCAATAGATGTGGTGGAAGGGCCGGGGAGATGGCTCAGGGCAATAAGCGCTTCCCTGGCAAGTGCAAGGGCCTGATTTCAATCCCCGGCTCTGCCAAAAAAATAAAATAATAAAAAATAATAATAAATTAAAAGATAAAAAATAGATGTCGTGGAAGAAACATTGCTTTTAATGCCAAAATAACTACTTTCAAATGTTGGCTTTGCCAACCACTAACTTTGTGGCATTGGCAGTTGTCCATGAAATACATACTCTAGCACGAGTTCATGTAGGGATACTTATAGGATAGCTTCTGGCATACAGGGGGGTTGTGAAAGTCCTAATTCTCTTGGGGGGTGGTACTGGGGGTCAAACTCAGGACCTTGCACTTGCCAGGCTGATTTTTCATGACTAGAATCCCAGTTATTTCATTAAACTGTGTGCTTAGTTAAGTAAACAACTTTGGCCCAGTGCATGATTTACAAAATAGGAGAAGGTATACGAAATGCTTTGTAAAGAGCAGTACTTGAATTATAGTAACCCCTCAATATATATTAGAAATGATTGTTGTTTTTGTTGACAACTATTGATCCAGGGGGAAAGCACATTAATATCAAGCAAATTTGACCCAAACTAATTATTCTGACCACTAACCCACTCCTGTCAAATAGTTTTAAGACTTCCTATATCACTTTAATGTCCCAGGTTTTCTCTCTCATGGCACCCTTTTCAATGGCAATAAAATAATTATTATCAGTGCACTGTGAAATCTGACTTTCCAGGCAGCTGTTAAACTGATGGTATCCCTTCTTGGTATCACCTCAAAAAGTTAATAGCATCAAATCACAGTGCTATATGCATATTCATGCTTATAGCAGCAAAGATTGTAATAGCTAAACCTTGGAAACAATCCAAATGTCCATCAACTTATGAATGGATAAAATATTCTGGGTTTTTTTTTACACAACAAAATACTATTCTACCATAAAGAAGTATAAGCTTGAGACATTTATGACTAAATAAATGCACATTGAGACCATATTCTTAAGTGAAATAAAGCAGACAAACAAGTATTATATTGTCTCTCTGATGTGAGAAGCTAAAAGTGTAAATGAGGCCCAAAATGTAGAATGGGTATTGTGAAATAGGAAGAAACTGCTCAAAAGAAAAGTGGAACTAGGGAGGGAGAAGGGGTGAAAGATGGAAGAGAAAAGAAAAAGTTATGATGAAATTGAAACAAAGCTTTGGAGGAAAGAGGGATTGAAGGGAAAGAAGGAGCATGGGGAAACAAGAGGAATATAAATGCATCATGTCTAGGTACAAATTCCCTATGAGGACTATGACCATTACATAGATCTAAATGGTACCAATAAACTTAATAATACTTTTTTTAAAACTTATGACACACGTGTTGAAGCCATCTGTGTGCTATCATTGAAAGCTCTAAAAGAGCTGCCATAGACTGTACAGCCCACGAAGCAAAGACCATCTCTACCTTTCTCTCATAAAATCTTGACCACTTGGCACAATGCCTATTTGTTTAATAAAGTGCTTGTAGTATAAATGAATGGATGAATGAATGAGCTGATAAGTTCTTGAATAGGATTACACATGTGCCAGTATTCTCCCTGATGTATAAATAAGTACTGAGTAAATATTTGTGCAAATGAATTGGCAATAGAATTCATTATACGTTTCTAGACAAAATTGGTAACTTCCTTACAAAATGTTTCCCATAATTTAAAAAATATTATTTAAAGATAACATCAGCAGAAAGAAAACCTACCCATCCAAAATATTTTATTATCAGTTTTGTCTTTCAATTCAAAACTACAAGGCTCAAAACAGGCCCAAAAATAGCTCTTTGAAGGGAAAATTCTAATCATGCTTTTGACATAGTCATCTTTTCCTTGACTCACCACTGCTAGGGAGCAAACAAAATTATCAAGAGAAAAAATACACAGTTCTTTAAAACTCTAAAATTGTTTGGCATTATTTATTTTTGTTCTTTAATTGGTTATGTGTATGTCATATGCCTCATCTTCATTAAGAACAAAAATAAGATCCTTGTAATTAAGTTGTAAGATAGAATAATTATCACAAATATTTGTTTCCATTCAGAGTCTTTGAATCCTTGACATCCTTTTAGTCTTTATCAGTGAAAAGGGAACTAACTGCATATTTAATTTATCTTTCTCCATCATCTTGAGGACAAAAAAAAAGTATTTTTTAACTGTGCTACCCAATAGCTGAAAACAAGAAGCAGCTAATTAGCCTCTTTCACACACCTTATCAAAGAGATTAACAGTGCCATGAGAATTTGAGAAGCAAATAAAAATCATATAGTGTGAGGATGCAGTCTAAGCTAATTATGCAAATGATAACAAATTATATCCATCTTAGTGCTCTTTCTTCATTCCTTGCCTTGCCTCCTGTGCCTTGCATAAGGTAAAATCTCATCTTTAATTTATCATATCTTTGTATTTTTCTCACTATAGTTGCATCACATACATATGTACTTCTAAAAACATATTATGCTGTTTTCAATGTTTTTACAATTATACAATATATTCTTAGCATAAGTAATCTTTTGGGCCCAACTCAATGTTGGGTTTTTCACTGAAAAGCATATTGCTGGTTCATCTATATCATTGTATACCATTTTGGTTTATATATTTTACGTTATATAGTATTCCAGTTATGGGCTGGGGACATAGCTCAGAGGTCTAAGCCCCTTTCAGGCAATTGCAAGGACATAGGTTCAATCTCTGGTACTGCATGCCATGCAGAACCCCAGGTGTGCTGTGTTGGCCACCACAACCAGGTATGGTGGTACACACCTATAACCCCAGCACTTGGAAGGCCAAGACAGGAAGAACACTATGAGTCTAAGCTGTGTAGGGGAACCCTGTACCAAATAAATAAATACAAATTTTAAAAAATATTCCAGTTATGTACATAGCCCATGCTTTATTTACTCATTCCCTTGTTAAAGAACATGGGAGCTGTTCCCAGTTTTTTGCTGTTATAAACTGTGGCCCTAAGGACATCCTTACCCATATCTGTTAGTGTACCTATGGGGCAGTGCTTTAGGAATGTACTTAAGAACAGAACTGCTACCCTTAAAGCGTGTGAATATTCATCTATACAAAATAATACCAAGCTGTTTTCCTGAATGGAATACCAATTTCTATTCCAACAAGCAATGTGTATGCAATCTTATTGGTCCACACCTTCTCCAACATGCATCATTACCAGACTTTTTGTTTTACAATTGAAGTTAGTTATTATGTTCCTAATGATATTTTAGTTTTTGAGGTGTTATTTCATTATTGAAAAATAAACAAAATAGAGGGCCAGCCAAATAGCTCAGTGGATTAAAGTGTCTGTAATCAGGCCCAGGGGCCCAGGAGCTCGATCCCCAGGCCTTCTGTGCCAGCCCCAACCCCAGGGCACGCTGAGAGGATGATTGAGACTGGGCAGTGGTGGTATGCACCTGTAATCCCAGCTCTTGCAAGGCTGTAAACAGGTGGATCACTACCTCTGATCTAGTAGTGACACCGTGAACACCCTGTAGACCTTCCCTAAAATACAAAAAAATAAAACAAATTAAATTATTAAAAGAGGGTTATGTACTAACAAGTGAATGTCATAAACTGTATATTATGATTGATCTAATTTTGTGTATCTAAAACCCAGAGGATGGATCCTAGGAAAGTTGTACAGAAACCCTATCCCTGGTAAAAATCTGAAAGACTTGAAAGGAACAGCAGAAGACTCGAAATAAATTGTTCACTACTACACTGTGCTCTGCATGGCTTCCTTCATAGATTAACCTGATCTTCTCAGGGATACAGCTCCTCTATCATTCCTAAGAATGTCTTTGAGTCCCTTGAAGGAAAGATAACACAACTTCCCCATGCCCTTGTTATCAGACCTGATGACAGTATCACCCAAGTATGATGAAACCTCTCAGGAACCCTGTGAAAACTCACGTAAGATTTCATTTTCTCCTAGGATATGGCATTGGTCTGCCGCCCAACTCTCCACTGACCTCCAATATATCTGAGTTGATCAGTCAGTACAAATCACATGGGTTTATGGATGTGCTTCATGACAAGTGGTACAAGGTGGTTCCCTGTGGCAAGAGGAGTTTTGCTGTTACTGAGGTATGGAAATCCTACTGATTATATTGATACTTTGTGTAGTGTTATCCTAATGAATATTTTTTTTAAAAAACACCTTTGGCTGTGCCTCATACTCAGTGATTTAAGCCAGGGGTGGTGAATCTATCTGTGGCCCACATGCCACAGAGGTATCACTGAAAGCTCTGAAAGGTTCACCATCACTAGGCTATTTTAGGAACTTTGCTGGGTTATCATCCCCCCTAACTTTGTTTGGTTACCACTCCTATAGGAATTAAAAATGAGATATGTTTGTCTTAGATTTAAAAGCAATGCTATTTTGATGAGTAGATGTCTCAAGTTATGCCTTTCCTTATACCCAGAGATCCACAAGGACAGAAGAAATTTTGTTCTAAATTATAGCAACAGTATGCGGGACTGACATTAACAGTATTTGGCTTAATCATTACGTGTTGGTTATGATGTGGACTTCAAAACATCCTTTCAAATCTAATCAAAGCTTTGCTAATTTCCCACAGGTGACTACTAATAAATCCTTTGTGGATTTAAAATTAGACACACCTTAGCCTTTCTATTATAGAATCATAGTTTTTTTAAACTAAAAATGATAAATCTTCTTCTCATATTTGAAAGGCTAATATCCAGAGATAACAAGTTATTTTCCCAAGGCATATAAATAGTCTGTTGAAGTACTCTGTCTTTATAGCGTAATTAAAAATAAGTTTATAAAATGAATCAGAATTGGGATGATTAAAATAGGAGACTGAAAGTTGTAAGCAGAGACATAGGCTCAAATATTAAAAAATAGAAACCAATTAAATAAATACAAAGTCATTTAGATAATAAGAAAAAATATCTAAAGCCAACAATAATGGCTTCAATTATTATCCATTTGCCAAGAATCTCCAAATATGCCTCTCAGAACAGGTCATTCTTCTGAACTCCAAGCTACTCATCCACTTTTCTGCTTGAAGTCTCAAATTGTACTTGTTCAAACCTGAAGCCCTTATCCTCCCTATTAAATCTTCTTTTCTTCTTGCCCTTTATGTCTTGATAGTGACACTTGTCAGTGTCACTTAACACCCAGGTACTCATGCCACAACCTAGCAGAGATCTTTAATGCCTCGAGCCAGACCTCTCCACCTGCATCTATCAGCAAGCCTCTTTTGATAAAACAGATCTGAAATATGCCCATTTATTGTCATCTTCTCTATCATAACTCTAGGCCAAGATATCAATGCCCAACTACACCACTACAATCACCCCCTAACTGGTCTCTGTTTTCACTCTTGTGTTCCTCCACTTAGCTTTCTATGTGGTGGGTCACTCTTGTACTAGAAAGATGCAGTAGCCTCCTGTGTTCATTGGAACAAAATTCAAACCTCTGACTAGTCTACACTGCCCATTGAGACCCAGCCCGTCTGTATCTCAGCTCCATCTCATGCCACTTTCTTCCGGACTCATTACAGATGCATCATAATGGACATTATGGGTAAAGATATACTAGGAGCCTCTCTATCTCAGAATCCTTTGCAAGCCATTGCTTCCACCCTTCAAATAGCCCTCCCCCAACATTTGTTCAACTAATCCCATCACATTATAAAATCCTGGCTAAAAGCTTTTTCAGACCCTGATAAAATCTGACTAATCTGAATCATATCTTTCTATAAGATCTCATATTACTGCTTAGCATTTTCTCATGATTTACAAATTTCGCTATTTTAAATATGTATTGGATCAGGTTATGTCTAGTTTATTTCTTCATTAGAAGTTAAGACCTCTGGCCTCCTCAATGTCTCTTCTGTAACAGGCACTCAATGAATAATTGTTGGACAAATGAATCACAGAAACTGAATGACATACTGAGAAGAAGTTGGGGGTCAGAAGGTATGAACATCAAGTAGGAGTGATGTTGGTACTATACTGGATTGAATAGTGCCTCCCCAAATTCATGTCTATCCAAAATTTAAAAATCTGATCTTCTTTGAAAATAGAGTCATTGAAAGCCAATAAATTGAGATGAGAACATACTGGACTCAGGTGGGTCCTGAGCTCACTGATGGTTTCTGTATGAAAATATCCTATGAGTCCAGGAGTGGTGGCACACACCTGTCATCCCAGCACTTAGGAAGCTGAAACAGGATGAACAGTGTGAGTTTAAGGCCAGCCTGAACTACAAAGGGAGTTCAAGGCCAGCCTGAACTGCAGAATGAAACCCTGTCTCATAAAGACAAAAAAGAAGGCCTTAACGATGGACACACAGGGAAGATAGCCAAGAGGTAACAGAGGCAGAGACTGGAATATGCAACTTCAAGCAAAGGAATGCTAAGGGTTGCCTGCAATCGCCAAGAGCTAGGAAGGAAGCCTAAAATAGATTTGTCTCTCAGAGCCTCCAGAAGGAGTCAATCCTGCTGACAAGTGGATTTCAGACATTGATTTCTTGAACTGTGAGGGAATAAATTTCTGTTGGCTTAATCCTTCCAATTGGTGATAATTTTTACAGCAGCCCTGGAAAATTGATACAAGTATATGATAGACTAGATAGATAGATAGATAGATAGATAGATAGATAGATAGATAGATAGATAGATAGATAGATACATACCTACATACATACATACAGGCATACATGCATGCATGCATATGTGCTTACAGGCAGAAGCAATCTAGTCAATGTCCTTGAAATTAAGCTACTTATGATCTTCCTAGCTGCCATGAACAAAATGATTATAAGTTGAAAAGTTTTTTAGTCATGAAGAAAAGAAGTTATTCTATCTTCAACTATAAATTCTAAATCCATTCTTATTTGGGAAAATCACACTGAATAACAGCAACATTTGCAAAATGAAGAAAATATTCCTTCTCTGGCTAATTCTCATATTGTTTTTCATGGTTGTTCAAGGAGGCTGTTATTTGTGAATCAATGAAAACCCTGGGGAGGCACTGAACACACAATTCATAACCTCTGCTATTTTTGCAACCTACGCAACCTGCTGCAGAAAACAGGCCACTTAGAAGGATGGGTTGTGCTCATCCAAAAATATTTATTGAGTACTCACTGTGTGTCAGGCATTGTGATGGATATTTTGTACGCATCACCAAACAAGGCCCAAAGCTGCCTGTTTTGGAGATGTTTTAAGTTTTATCAGAGAATAACATACATTAGAGAGAATACATAAGTAAATTAGCTATGTTCCAGGATAGAAGCAGTTTATCCTGGTGATAACAGCAGAAAGGAAATCCTCACTAAGAAGACAAGTATAAACAAAAGATTTGAAGGAACAAAGTAGGGGAAGAAGTAGGGTCTGGCAGAATAAGCATGTTCTGTTTCCTATCATGTGATAGGACCACAGTAGGGACTTTAGTGCATTGGTTCTCACTACAACAGTATAAGCCAGGCACTGCTAGAGAAATATACTTGGAAAAATGTACATGGCCTTTCCTAAAAGAAATAAAATTGAGTTTACACCAGTCAGGTTATTCAGCCAAGAAAGAAATGAACCAGTTGTTTATAAACTGTGCAAAGGAATAATCACTTGATGTCTTTTTACCATTTGTAATGACCATAACACACTCTAGCCAAGATCTCTCACTGATTCAAAACTGCTCCCAGTCATGTCCTCAGAGACACATGAAAATGATTTTCACTTCCCCGGTTCACATGTCTAGACTATTGCCATTTCAGAGGATTACCAGATGAAGTTGTCAGTGGGAAGGACCATTCCACACCACAGCCAAGCATCTGAGTATGCAGCGTTCTGCGGAGGCAGAATTCAGCTCCACGCAAGCATACAGAGGGAGCGTGTGCTTGGAGAAATCCACTCCATGCTCATGTCAATGTGAAGTCTCTATCACCAGACATGATAAATTTGAGGTTTTATATTTCTGGATTTGAATCCTGGCTCTAGCAATTAACAGCTGAATGACTTCACTGCTCTTTATTTATTATTTTAATAATTGTATTGAGAAACAAATAGCAATGAGACAGTTACAAATCCGATTAGTAGGACAGTTTCAATAATTAATACATTGCATATTGTTCTCTTAGTGGTTATTCATTGTACAAGATGCAGACATGATATCCTGT